CTCAACATTTTATAAATAAACCCAAGTGATATCAGTTCGTATACCATACGACCGTCCCACCATGAGCATCATGCTCCCACCCTCAAAACGACGTAGTTTTGGGCAATTTAAAAAAAATCGGGTGAATAGTACGCGTGTGAACAGTACACGCGTGTACAGTGACTTTTTTTGTCCCAGTAACATAGATGATGTAACTCGCGTGTAAAGATATGTAACACATATTATTCATCAATGTAACTCTAGCTCATCCAAAATGTAATTTGTCAAATATTAATTTCATTGTAAATAATGAAAAAAAGAGTCCAATTGCATAATTGATTTAGGTAAATATGAATATGTTTTGTTTTTTAATATCATGGTCATCAAACATAATTTTTTTAAAAAAGTTCATTTTTTTATTCAATAGCAGGTGTTGATTTTTTTAAATAACTCGTGTTATTACCAATGTAACTCGCGTTGATGACAAATGTAACTTATGTGTATACAGAATGTAACTTGTTGGAAAATTGAACAATGATTTTTTTTGTTTGAGGTATTATAAACATTGATTTCAATGTAAACAATGAAAAATTGATCCTAATAGTTTAATTACTTTTTATAAATAGTGAATATGTTTTATTTTTAATATTAGGGCAATAAAAATGATATAGCTGGAGTTTATTCCACGGTGTAACTCGTATACATTAAGATGTAACTTGTGTATATTAAGATGTAACCCGCTTGCATTAAGATGTAACTTGCGCAGAAGAAGATGTAATTTCATGATATATTATCAAATGCAACTTCAAGAATCAAAATAAACAAACTCATAACTCCATGTATTAATTAATATATAAACATACACACCATATATAAAATTTGCTTCGTTGCTTCTCTTTAAAAATTTGCTTCTCTTTATATATATGAATTTAATTGGTGGGATGTTTTCCAATTTTGTTGGCCAAGATGAGTGAATAGACCGGCAGCAGCCCTGCATACAAACACGAAGGAACCTGTCATCTATGTAGGCGAAACAAAAGGGCAGCCGGGTAGGATAACTACGAATAGGGGATGGTTGCCGTGGATATGCGACGTACACCGCATCAACACCGGCAAATAAGGTCGCCGTCCAGTCTTCTCTCTTTTCAGAAAAGTTGATCTCTTTTTCAATTAATAAAACAATGTCGTTTTGGGATCGGCACACCATGTGCATGGTGGGCCGATCCCACGGTATAATTTGCGAAGTGATATAATTAAGATTTAACAATTATTTTTACATCTTTCGGATTTGTTCCCATCCGGAGTAGCAAAAAAAAGTTTATGAAATGTTTTTTTAAATATATTTACAACTTTGATATAAACTAGTTTAGGTTTATTGAAATAAAATGATTACAAATATCAGAAAGATGAAAAAATTGGAAGATGTAGACATTTGTAAAGTAATATTTCATATTTTTTTTGTTACTTCAAAACATAATGACATCTTCATTTAGCAGTTGGGTCTATTTAAAACAATATCAAACTAGAATAGTTTATGAAAATCATGGAGACCAAATTAGAATAGTTTTTTTAGGTTCAGATATTTTCCTTCATTTGAAGTAACAAAAAAAAAGTTATGAAATTTTACTTGTCAAATATTAGCATCTTCCATATTTTTTTCATCTTTCAGGTGTTTGTAATCATTTTATGTCAATAAACCCGATTCTAAACTATTCTGTAGTTTATATCAAAGATGTTAATATCTATAAAAAGATAACATTTCATAATTCTTTTTGTTACTTAAGATGAAAAACTTATCCAAAAAATGTAAAAATAATTATCAAATCTTAATTTTAGCACTTGGATTTATTTATGAAAACAATTGAGTTTAAAAACTCTACCAATCGTACCTTCAATTTTTTGTAAAAAAAAATTGGTTTAGAATTATATTTATTGACCTGGCATTGCTGCAATTTCCTTTTCACTCCATAAGAACTTCTGATTTTGTTTTTTAAATTTAATGCATATAATATTTGTGTCTGATGAACTTTAATCCAAGTACGAGAGCTATATCTACGAGAGCAGATGAAAATTAGGCAGCGTAAGCCAGTATCTTATTATCCGGAATCCGGTCCTCTCATAGGAAATATACAAGGAGTATTTATAGACTCTAGGAGCTAGTATTCCGGGAGGAATCCAATACAATAAATGCTAATAATTATCTTTTAGTCGAATAGAACTCCTATAACGTCTTGGACGTTGTGCAATGATCATCTCTTTTAAGTCTACGTTCCTTATGTTATTCCTACTTGCTGCCAGATAGCTATGCACAAATGATAGCCTGCAGCGTAAGCCCTAGGAATATCCCGGCCTCACTAGAACTCCGCCCAGGCTCAATGTCTGCTGTCCAGCATGGGCTGGTTGTGGGTTCCTATCGTGGGTTTGATTCCTAATTAGGCCCAACGGCTAATTAATATTAATGTCGTTTAGGGCTTGATCCCGTTGAGGGCTAATCCTGTTTATAGGCTGACCCCGTTAAGGGCTAATCCCGTTGAGGGCTGATCCCATTATGGGCTAATCCCATTGAGGGTTGATCCAGTTATGGGCTTGATTCCGTTATTGGGCCATGGTCCGAATCCATGCTACCATCACGAGCCCCCTACTCTCTATAAAGTAGGGCTGGATTTTAGGAGAGTAAATGGAGCGGGTAATTTCAAATTTCGAATCTTTTGGTGGACTGTAGCGCCACTCCGCATTAAATGCGCCCGACTTGACATCGGCCTGCAGCCCGACATATCTTCCAATCCGCTCTACCATCTTCAGCACTCAAGTGCTATCATTATGGTTTCTAATCCTTAATTCATTGGTTTATTTAAACGCTCGCCATTCTTTAGAAAATTCTTCTGCAATTTTATTCTCGCGCAAGCATTCTGTTTCTTGGTTGGGAACCCTAGGCCACAAGAACTTCCTTCCACCACTTTCATTTTTCTTCAGGTCAGTTCTTGATGTCATCTTCTAGTTCAGTTCCCATTCACCATGCCTTTCCCGATGACGGGGCCACCTCGAACCGATCCCAAATCCCGAAAGATTCTCAAGGGGGTTAAAACCCATTTCTTCCTCTCTTATGAGCACGCCCGGCGAGTTCCGGTTGTTGCCCTTTCTGACGCCTAATTCAATGAGGCGGGGGCCCTCGCGGGCCCTGGTGTCATCTGTTCCCGACCTTCCCCTGGCCAGAACATCGTAGAGCCCCCCTTCTCCCCTCCATTTTGGGGTTCATATAGCCAGTCTGCAAGTTGGTCTCCGGTTCCCACTGCATAATGCCCATCTGAGCGTCATGAATTATTTTGGCGTGATTCCGGGTCAGTTCTCCCCAATTACCCACATGTTCATTGCCGGGTTCATCGCCTGGTGTGTTCGTCTGAAAATCCACCCCTTTATCGATCTATTCCTCCACTTTTTTCATTCTGTAAGGCCCGACGGTTCTGAATCCCCGGGTTATCTCTCGATTTCCCAACGGGTTGGCCATCGTTTGTTTGAGGACAAATCTTATCCCGACTCCTTCAAGGGTTGGAGGTAGAAGTGGATATGGGTCACCCCAGCGGACGGCAGGCTGCAGTTTCAAAACAAATGGGGGAAGTTGATCTGGAAGTGGGTGATGCCTTTTCTGTCGGAGGGGAACACTGAGGCTGCCAGGATAATTCCTGATGGGGCGCCATTTTTGATGGGACACTATGTAGGTTAAGACGGAGTAGTAATGCTCACGTACTTGCCAGGTCGGCTATGCCTGATTTGGCATTTGATTTTTCTTCCTTGTGTGTTTTCACCATTTTGATAATGTCTTTTGTTTTATGTACAGAGGGGAGCAAGATGGCGTCTCGGTTGGAGAGATTGGCAGCGAAGGCGAGTTCGACCCCAGGATCCATAACTTATAACTATTTAATTTATAAGTTATAAAATTAATAAACTTCTCTGAAGAAAAGCTCTTCATAAACTAGGAATGAGATTCATAAAAAAATTTAATGAACAAAAATAGCAAATCATGTGAAAATATGTAAATATAATATATTTAAGAAAAACTAAAAAAATGGGCTAGTTGTATCGTGGGATCGGCACACCATGCGCATGGTATGTCGGATCCCACTAACACTTCACAACCTAGTCCATTTTGCCTGGTTTCTACTCCCAACCAATTTCTACTCGATTAACCCATGCACCCAACAAGTTTTTGTGTCATTCTCTTTTCTCTTTGTTCTATTATCTTTATTAAAAATAATAATTTTAGCAATATCCCTTATTTTTATTTTTATTTGATAACAATATCAACTTGTTTTAATTGTGCCTTTGGGAGATCTGTTTAATAATTCTATTATGGAGTATTTTATTTCCTACTCTTTTGCTTCTTTTTTTATTTTCCTTTTCTACAATTCTTTTTTTTCTTCTCCATCAAATACTAAAAATGTATTTACAATTGTAATTTTCTTTATCTTCAACTTAAATTACAACACAATCTTTAAAGCATTTTTATGGCCTTAGTGTTAAAAACAAAACATATTCAGTATTTGTGTAATTAATTGAGGGCAATTAAACTCCTTATTTTCATTTGATATTATATGAATGTACGTGTTCTTATGCGTGAGTTACATCTGTTTGTGCGTGAGTTATATCTTAATGTACGCAAATTACATCACTAAATAAACCACTGCTAATGATAAAAAAATATTTTTGGCAAACAAATTGATTTTAGGAAAAAAAATTATATATGGCCTTAATATTAAAAACAAAACATATTCGCTATTTACGTAAAGTAATTGAACACTTAGACTCCTTGTTTCCATTGAAATAAATGTTTTATTTCTTATAATCCATTTTAGACAAGTTACATTTCGCCTAGCCTGCAATTACATTTCTTATCAGCTTGAGTTACATTTCTTAACACGCGAGTTACATCATTCTTATCACGGTGGACTGCTCCGACGGTATAGCAAATGGGAAAAAATGGGAAAATAAACTTATGAGAAAGGTAGAATTACAAATGTAATTGTTGGAGAAGTAAGATAAAGAAAGAGGAGTGAAAATGAGAGATTTTCATTGAGAAGAGAAGAAATGGTGGGTAAGGTCTCCCGGTCCGCGCCTAACCCGACCTCCTCCTCCTCCTCCTTCTGCAATCTGCGTACATAACATAACCGATCTCTCCCTGCAGAGCATTTGCATCTATCTGTGACGACGAACACATACCCTATATCTTACGACGGCGCTGACACCTATATACATACACCAAAGAAGAACAGAAACGATTTCTAAACCCTATCTCTCTCTCTCTCTAGTGTTTTGGATTTTTTTATAATGTGGGTTCGGGTTTCTTCGCTTGAGTGATTCTTTTTCTTTCTTTCTTTCTTTATCTTATCAATAACTTTGTGTTTCCTTTAAATTGTTTCGAAAAGAGGGATTGAGCTCTGCTGCTGCTGTGAATGGCGGAGCCAATGAGGAGGTTTGGAGTGGGCTACGCCTTGGCGCCCAAGAAGCAGGCGAGTTTCATTCAGGCGTCTCTCGTGAATCTGGCCAGGGAGAATGGGATCGATCTCATCCAGATCGACACCGACAAGCCACTCGTGGATCAGGGACCCTTCGATTGCGTTCTCCACAAGCTATACGGCGACGATTGGAAGCGCCAGCTCCAGGACTTCTCTTCCCGGAACCCTAAAGCTCTCATCATCGACTCCCCGGAGGCCATACAGCGCCTGCACAACCGTATCTCCATGCTCCAGTTCGTCACCAAGCTTCAGATCGACTGCCAGGTCGCCTCTTTGGGTATTCCTAAGCAAACCGTTCTCTACGACGCCCAAATGGTTTCCTCCTTCAAAATGGAGAACGAGGGTCTCAACTTCCCCGTCATTGCCAAACCCCTGGTTGCTGATGGAAGCGCCAAATCACACAAGATGCTTCTCGTTTTCAACAAGGACGGGCTCTGTAAGCTGAAGCCCCCCATTGTTCTTCAGGAGTTCGTCAACCATGGGGCTGTCATCTTCAAGGTCTATGTGGTTGGTGATTATGTCAAATGTGTTAAGAGGAAGTCCTTACCTGATGTCAATGAAGATAACTTGGGGTGTTTAGAGGGTTACTTCTCATTTTCACAGGTCTCAAACTGTCGCACCAATGAGAAAAATGATGACAAGTACTGCAAGATGATGAATTTGGAGGATGCGGAGTTGCCCCCTTTGAGTTTTCTCACAGAAATAGCCAGAGGACTTAGAAGAGAAACAAGACTTCATCTTTTCAATTTTGATGTGATCAGGGACAACAAGCTGGGGAATAGGTACCTTGTTATTGACATCAACTACTTCCCGGGTTATGCAAAGATGCCAAATTATGAGTCTGTCATGACTGGATTTTTCTGGGATGTCTTGAGTACGAAAACAGATGAGAGTTCCAAAGGTTTCAGGATTGGGCTTGAGAATGAGGTGAGGATGTTGGTTGGGAACACTGGATATGAGGAAGCTGAAGTGGCATTACCTGTTTCCCCCCTTAAGAGGGAGGAAGAGAAGGAGACTCCTATCCAGGTCTGAGGGTGTGGGATGTATTTTTTTTGCAAAATTCGGACGTTTGGTCAGTAAAATTAGCTAAACAATAGTGACCTTTCTCTTGGTTTGCAGTTGTTTTTTAGTTAGAGAGGAGGTAGTAATAACTAGGTTATTGGCTTTGTTCCGGCCCCATGAAAGTTCTTTGTCAGAAGTGTACAATTCAATCTTAGCGGTGGGAAATAGGTACAATGCAAATACTCTTTTTTCTAGGAAAGTGAAGTTTTAATTCGAAATGCAAATGTATTTCATGGCTATGAAAAGATCTTAATCGTCTGCCTTTGACATCTTTGGTCGATGATTTTTGGTGGAGTGTAAATCAAGTTTGATTTTTTTCTGTTGTTATTCTTCAAAGTTGCATGGGTGTCATATTGCCATGTTATACAAAATGTTATGGCTTTTGCTGTTTTAATCCAAATTGGGTATGTCACATGGTAGGTTAAATACATATTTTCTTGGAATTTTCCTTGTATGGACTTGAAGTATATTATTCCCAAGGAGGTTTGGAAAGGCTAAGTTTCATACCTTATATGTTTAGATCTTGTTTCAGTATTTATTCACCTTCATGCATGATTCTGGATGAAACTCAACCAGTGGTTAATATTCATGCAAAGGGAAACTATGCTTGAACCTTGCAGTGCTCGTGAAATTTGAATGTGAAGTTTTTATTTTGTGTCATGGTTGATTGGTTGCATGGGTCATGGAACATTAACTGTATGTTACAATTCTGATATATAGTTCCTTAGGATTGCCACAGGCTGCAGAAGAACTATTGAGTTCTTGAGTAAAAGCTTAGTGTCTTTTTCCAATGTGTTACAATTCTGATGTATATAGTTCCTTAGGATTGCCACAGGCTGCAGAAAAACTATTGAGTTCTTGAGTAAAAGCTTAGTGTCCTTTTCCAGTTCTTATCCATTGAGTAACCTGTTATTGTCTGTCACCATTAACACTTGGGGTCAGTCTGGATGGAGTGTTTTGAAGGGGAAGGCTCTGTATGGCTTAGTCTTATATAACTTGATAAATGTTTCTTGACAAGTATTTGGTTATTTGTTCAATATTTATAAAATCTAGACGTATATCAAGGTACATTCAGACCGACCAATTATTTTCTCCGCACTGGACAAAATCTAGCACCCCCTCCTTCAAAACCTTGCATTTAAAATATTTTTTTCATTTAAAAAATATGGCCGTATGGTTGGGGGATTTCGGAGGGAAGGGAAGGGGAGGAGTCATATTTAAATTTAAAATATTTTTTTCATTTAAAATAATTCAAATTAAGTGAAGACAAAATAGTATATAAAAATACATGGTTTAACCAATTATATACTTGTAGTTATTTGAAGTTAAAAACTAAAAAATTCAGATAAATTAACAAAATAAAAAATCAATCCTCCCCTTCCCTCCCCTCCGAAATCCCCCAACCATACAGGCCCTAAACCTCCTTTACGCTGAGACACAAAAGTAGTGTTAATCCCAGTAATCTCTGTCCATAGGCAACATCGTGTTGTATGCATCCAACTGTCTTTGTTAAGAGAAAGCAACCTTCTGACTATTGCTTTTTTCCTGAACAAATGGCTATTGAAATTCATGATTAGAATATTCACATCAGGTAGGGAAGGAGGGAGAAAGGAAGTAGAGACCTGAAATGATTTTTTTTTTGTCTATTTAAATCCTTATAGATCATATTTCGTGATTGGAGAATTTAAGAATGGGTGTACCGTTGCCATGAGGGCATCTCCAATGCATGAGTGAATTGAGATTCCAACTCAGCAAATGCACTTTCAATACTAATATGTACTCTTCAATGGTAATATGAATGTGCTTTGCCAAGTCTGACTTGGCAAAGCACAAGGTCCAGGGAAGGGTCTACAATGAGACCCTCGGTGCCACCTTCTGACACACACCCAAGCAATATACAAAGCTTTTCTTTTTCTCTTTCATCAACTCTTTATTTTTTATTTTCTTTTCCCCTTTTGCATTGGAGCATCCTTCAAATGCACCTTAACTTTCTTGCTCATATTGTGTCAAGACCTTCTCCATTTATTAGCCACATAAGCACCAATGCCCCAAGCATTGGAGATGCTCTGATCATCTTCTTATCTTGGCCAGTTTAATAATTACTTTGTCTCATCTTTCTCAACCGAGTGATCCCACACATTTATTTATTTGTTTGGATTGTTTGACCGTTTTAAGTGTGAACGGAGATGTATTTAATATTTTAACCATGCTTTGTGTACATGCTAGTTGTACCCGGCATTTTACACGCCAGTCAAATTGTTTGTGCATCGACAATTTTTTTTCGTTTTGTGAAGAGAATCATATTTCGCACCAACAAAAGAATAAAAAATTGTTGGTGTGAAAAACGATTCCCTTCACAAAACGAAAAACAAAATTGTCTGTACATAGACTATTTGACCGGCGTGTAAAATGTTGTGTACAACATGGCGTGTACACAGAACATTCATCTTAATATTTTAATTTATATGTGTTCACACGGGCAGTGGTTAGGTGGATTGTTATGAGGTGATGAATGGTTTGTGTTGTGTGTTATGATGAGGTAGCTGTGTAGCTCCAAAATGAGAAGAGATGGGGAAGTAGTCATTTATGGACATGCTATCGTAAAACAATCTATTGCTATGCCCTTCAGCCCAGCCTTTCATAAGTAATGTGCTTTAACAAGGAACTTAACTGTTTTGGGAAAAAAAGAAATTGTTTTTCTTCCTATCCTGGTAAGTAAAACGAAGTTGAAACTGTGCTTTTGAAGTCTGATTACTAATATTCCTTGTTGGAAAAGCTGTATTTCTATTGTTGGGGATTAAACTTGGGTTGTTAGATTTCATGATGTTAGGATATCAGAATCTAGAAAGCAGGAGGAAATAGGTAAGTTACATTAATGCGGGTGGGCAGGCAGGATTAGAGACAAGTGCTGAGAATGTCCATGCTCAAAGACGAGGGGCATTTGCTCATTTTTCATTGCTTGAAAGTTCGTAAGCACAATCATCCCCTGCTATCCATCACCACATTAATAAATCTTTTAGGCTCTGTTTGGTTAGCTAATTCTGGCTTATTTGCGGTGGACATCATAACATGAATAAATACCTCTTGACTTGCTTTTTTTCGTTTTAACATGAATCTTTGAGGCTCCATCTGGTTGCCTTATCTTGCTTGTTCTACACTTTTACACATCAACAAACTTATAATAGTCTTATATTTAGTAGTAGACAAAAATCACTTAGGTTTAAACCAATAACTCATTTTATAATTTGGCAACGGTTTACAATATGACGTAGTAGACAAAGCGTTTGACTAATTTTATATAAGGATTTAACTGTGGAACGGTAGACCCATTCTATCGTTGCACAGTTATACTAAGTTTACTAATTACTACGTCATTTTCACTAAATTATTTAGGGAGCAACGGTACACCCATTCTTACGTCATAAACTCATTTTATAAGTCAACAGTGCTTTATAATATGTCTGTGATCGAACTAGAGTTCATTTTCACTAGTAGATAAAGCGTTTGACATTTCTTGTATAATAGTCTCAAAAAAACTGAAAAGACCCTCCTCAGATCAATGATGCCGGGTCTAATTTATATAGGGGGACAATGGTCACCCCTTAATTACATCATTAGGCTGAAATATTAATGTTGTTTAACACATGCACTAAGTTTTATGAACTAACTATCGACACAAGTTGGTTGTCCGTTAATAACTGTTGTGTTTCATTCATCCAAAAAAAAAACTGTTGTGTTTCACTGTCCGAACACTATCGTTTAGTAGCTCCCATCCAGTGATCTTGATCGAGATCAAGTGTTCGATTTTCCAACTTTGACCGTCTCGTCAATGGATAGTTATATCCATCACGCGTCATATCTACAATAAAAGCTTATTTTTTCTTAATAGGAAAAGAAGGTTAGGATAAGTGATCTTGATACTGCAAGATCTATGGAAAGCATGGAAGTTAGAGTTTCAGAGTAGCTCGAAGAGACACTAATAACTAATTGAGTGTGCTTAAAAGTTAAAACAACCACTACCTGGCAAGCATTATCATGCCACTTACAAAGCATTGTGTAATAGACTAATAGAAAATGTCAAACATCATCATGTTGGGACACAACATCCAAAATTTGAGGGTAATATACAAAACTTAAGAGAAGGCGAGTTAGTAAAGAAGAAACCCAAAGCTGCTCAGGATAGACAAAAGATTTACAAAGACAAACATCTTAGAACATTGGCGTTTAAGGTTAGATCAAGTTTTCTTGAAGGTCACACCATGGAAATGAGGAAATCTGAATTTACAAACATAGGGTCATTAAAAATAATGAAACAAATTATATGCGTCTTGTACCGACTATAGATAACACCCTCATTATATGTCCTAGACCCATCTCACATCTTAGGCATCTCTTGAGAACGTGAACATATGAACTATGCGGTTTAACCAATTCAAGTGAAGAAGTCCCTCTTAAAGAGGTGCCAATGGTTAAGGGGTTATGGAAAGTGATCGAGTTGACGAAGAGACATGAGAGCAGAATCAACAATGGTGAAGCAATACATGTCTCTATTTGAACATAAATTAAATTTTGAGAAAAAAGTTTCTATCAAGAATACTAGATTTGAGTATTACATCAGAATAATTGATATGCACTAACTAGTAGTGCATAAATGTATCTTTTTATGTTTAATTTGTGTGAATTATTTACCATTTTATTTAGTTTGTAAACATTTGTGTGATTTTAGTTGTAATTGTATTTTAGTTCTCATTTGTAAGTTGTAAAGTAGAGTTAGGATTTATGGTGTTGGAAAGGAAGACTTTGAAGTGAAGAAAAATGATTATTGGCTGCCCAGGACAATCACCCAGTCGGGTGAAGTTTTGCACCCAGTCGGGTACGACTTTGAAAAGCGAAGGTGGCGGGAAACTACAATCACCCTGTCGGGTGAGGTATTCCACCCGGTCGGGTAAGATGTGACCCGAGACAAAACGACGTGCTGAAACACAAGAACGTGGAATATTATTTGATTTTGACATGCACCCGGTCGGGTGGGCACTTGACCCGGCCGGGTACCCGTCCAAAGGTGTTGAAAAACACTTATAAATAGCACACTTTTCCTTCACAAATAATCAACTCCTTCTTCCATACTCTTAAGCTCAGTTTAGAATAGTATTTCTTTTATATTTTTATAGCATGTTTAGTCTCCAAATGAGGAGCTAAACTTCCATTTCTTGGTGTTGCTCTTGAAGCTTGTTGATTATTAATGTTGTGAGTTATTTTCTTAACTTCTTTCCTTGAATATTAATTCTTCCTTTAAATACGTACTATTTCTATATCAATGTTGGGGAGTGTTACTAAGATGACAATTAGTTAACATCTTGACATTAGTTATAGTAATAGTTATTTATTCCTCTATGTTAATATTGGGGAGTGTTACTAAGATGACAATTAGTTAACATCTTGATATTAACTATAGTAGGATTCATCTTCTTTAATATTCTTCCTTGAGTATTAATTAATTCCTATTCATATTTCATATTAATATTTTGAACA